ATTTGTGATAAATACAGAAAAAAAAATGGGATTTTCTAATTGAAATTCTATTGAAAGTTGAATAAGAAAATAAAAAGTTGCACATAGAGAAAAAACATTGATAAATTTTTTTGTTATCGGTATGAAACTTTTTACGCATGAAAAACATTTCAAAATATCATACAATTATTCGCAACTCGACAATTCTTCTTATTTTTTTTAACAGAAAAACACACACATTTGCATCAAGAATACAAGCTTTAGAATAAATAACTGAATATAATATATTTAAATAATGTAATATGTGTATGGTTTAAAAAAGATAAATCTAGATTGAATTATATTTAAGAAAAAAAAATACATAAAATATTTAAGTTATTAAAAGAATTAAAACTCTCTCAAAATGGTATGCAAAAGTTCCATTTAAAATATAAAATATTAAATTAAATAAAACTATAAATTAAAAAAAAAAATAATAAATACATAAAATAAAAAATATAAAGGGAAAATATGAATTACCTTCCCCTTTAAATTAAAAGAAAATTCAAAACTTTGCAAATTTCTCAATATTTATATGGTGCTTAATCTGATGCTGCTGAAAAATTTTTTTTAAATTTAATTTATCTTCGGCATTTAAAGTATAAGTAATTTTTACTAAAAAATGTCACTATTTTTAAGTAACATAAAGATGACCTTCTGTAATGGATAAAAATGTAGATTCTATGGTAAGTATACATAGATTTGCTTTTAATATGCAAAACAAATGTTATTTTTTATTATTTTTTCAGACAACAAAAATTTAGCTTTATTGTTATTTAAATATATGACACATATCTGCATTTTGTATCTGAAAGTAAGTTTAACATATTTTAAAATTCAGGGTTCACTATGTCAACTTAAATTTTTATGCGTATATCGAAATAAAAAAATTCATTAAAAATATAAATTAATAATTTTGAGTTAAAAGTTAAAAAAAAAAAAAATCAAGCNTTTGGTACGTAGAGAAACTTTTGAATATCTCCAAACTTGCACCAAATGAAAGAAAAAATCTATAAAATACTTCTTAACTAAAAGTATAAATACAATAAATATAAATAAACTTTACATGTGAAACGTTACAAGTCCTCCTTTAATGAATTTTTCTTTGCAGTTGGAGGTACATTAATATTTAACCATATTTCAGCCTGGCTTTTAACTAAACACCACTGAACTCCATGTAAAATCTTACCCCAGTCGAAAGAAATGTCACCCAGTCACGTGATTAAAACTTGTTCAGTGGTCTGTGGTGTCTGTCCCCTTTTTCGAAAACGGATGCTCCCTCTAACTCATTATACCACCTCTATGTTGATGTTTTAAAAAGCAGATTATTCAGATTACGAGCAATTATATACTATAGTTTCGGTTTTGTTTAGTTTCGGTTTTCAGAACTTAGGTTAATTCAAACCGAAGGAAGGATATTTGCTTATTCAACCATAGTTATTAGTTTGAAGCGTCTGGTTATATTATAACTGAAGTATAGATGATGATATTAGCATTTTTTTATATTTAAAAATATGATTTAACAGAACGAGTTCAAAACTAAAATCATTTGAATTTTATAAGTTTACTATCATTGTTTTAAAATCGTTATAATCAAAAATGCACATTAATGACACATTTTTTTTTAACAAAATATAAGCCATGCAACCGTAAATTTGTTAAATTTTCCGATAAGAATTAAAAATAAAAATCTTTTTTATAAAAATAATTATTCGTAGCATTTACTATGAATTCGATCGTATTATCTATTAATTTCCGATCTTTATTAATGCCTTTGCACAAATAATTATTCAAATTATTATAATCATATCATTCAGATTGCTTGACGCTTAAGGAGTTCCAGCGAAATGCTCAGTAATCATCATGATTTTTTTTATATAATAAATCATTTTTTTAGCGTCTTTGACAGAGAGTCAATTATTTCGGTGAATATAGCGAGATGCTCTTCATATTTTTTGTAATTTAAACTCATTCCAAAAATCAAAGTAACGTGCAATTTAAATATCGGCGTAAAACAATGTTTATAAAAGTTATAAAAATAATTTATTTTAACCAAGATTAAGTTGAAATTAAAGTAATCAAATTTTGCGTTACGCGCAAAGGAAAACCATGAAAATGTTTTTCAGATTGCTTGGAGGCAATAGGATTGCAACTAAATGTTCATCTTTATCTCAATGAAATTATTTTTTTATAAGCAACCATTTTTATTATTAATCAGGCCTAGCCGTTGTGGTTCAGAAGATGAGAAGTCTCCTTGAAGTCAGGCTAACCGTGGGATGTTTTCGTGGTTTTCCTCTCCATGTAACGTAAATGCGGGTTAGTTCCATCAAGAAGACCACCACGGAGGCACATTTCTCTCAATACTTCATCCAGGACTCTCCCTGTCTTCTGGATATGATTTAAAATTGAATTTACGGAGTTGAATATGAGTAGGCGTAAACACATAATTAGGTCGGCTGTTCGACGACGGTTATAAAATTATGAAATAAATAAGGTATCAACTTGCTGAATATAAACGAAAAGCTCTTCTTTTTAACTCAACCAGTAAACAAAATAAGCCACAATTTAAGTATCGAAATACAATTATATACTTATGAAAGTTATAAAAATAACCTATTTTAAATAAAATTAAATTATCAAATTTTGCGTTACATGCTAAGGAAAACTACAAATGCGTTTTTCAGATTGTTTTTATCAGTAATAGGTATTCCAGCTAAACGTTCATTATCTAAAAGAAGTTATTTTTAAATAATCAATAATTTTTTTCCCATCCTTGATAGATGGCTTATCATCTTTGTGAATATAAGGAAACGTCCTTATTATTTTTAATTCAGCCCAGAAATCAAAATTACTCATAAGTTACTTGGAGTACAATCATAATCATTAAAGTTATGAAAATAACTTATTTCAATTAAGACTAAATAGAAATAATCAAATTTTGCGTTACATGCAAGGAAAAACCACAAAAAAGTCTTTTAGATAACTGAACAATAATAGCATTACAGCTAAATGCTCATTATCGCAATGAATTATTTTTTTAACCATTAATTTTTTAATCATCCTTGACAGACAATTTGTCATCTTAGTGGATGTTGTGAAATACTTTTCTTATATTTTTAACTTTGAACACGACCCAGAAATCAAAGTAACTTGCAATTTAAATATCAGAGAAAAATCATGTTTATAAAAGCTTTTGTAGTAACCTATATATTATTTAAAATTAAATTAAAATTTAGACAAATCAAATGTTGCATTAAATGCAAAGGAAACAACGAAAAAGTCTTTTAGATAACTGAACAATAATCGCATTACAGCTAAATGTTCATTATCGAAATTAATTCTTTTTTTAACCATTAATATTTTTTATCATCCTTGACAGACAATTTGTCATCTTAGTGGATGTTGTGAAACACTTTCTTATATTTTTAACTTTTAACACGACCCAGATATCAAAGTGCCTTGTAATTGAAATAGAGGAGTAAATGAAATGAGAATAATGAAATTTTGAAGGAAAATAATTAGAATTTCCATTACACACAAATGAAAACCAAGAAAACGCTTTTCTAGCAAACTAATTGTACGCTAACAGGCTAGCTCGGAATGTTTACTATAATGTTCTTTATTTTATTTATTTATTTATTTTTTGTAAGTACATAAATTGTGTGTTTTATTTTATTTCAAATATTTGAATTTCAGAATGATATAAAGAATTAAATTTTAAGGACATATTAGTTTTTTTTCTTTTTTTAATTTTAAAATTTACGAATTATAAAATCTTTAAAAAAATCTGAAAAAAAATGTGTCATAAAATTTGCGAATTTCAGATTTTTCTGGCAAAGAGACTAAAGGTTATCAATTATTATTAATCATTGCAACTTATAAAAATTAAATAAAAAAAGAACAAATTATGTACAGCTGCAATAAACAAAAACCGCAGTTCACTAGAGGGCGTAGATATAGAGTACAAACTAGTTACTAGACTAGTGATGTCAACGTTCACCGTGACGTCCGTTTGGTCGAGTGATTGATCTTTCTGCCTTTATATCTATGATTTTAAGTTTAAATTGGAGTTGAGTAGCAGACCCAATTTCGGGTATACTAATATCAATCTTCAACTCTCTAATCTTGCACTTTTGAAATCAACCCAGAAGAAAAGGGAACTATTGGATCAGACAGTGGGACAAAGAATAGCATTCTTAGAAAACTCTTAGATTGAACTAAACCTTTGCATTACTATGAGAGGGAAACCACAAAAACACCCCACGGTTTGCCCGATGGCAAGAGGATTCTAACCCATGATCCGTCTACCACTGGGGATGTATTACGTCAGCGTGTGGCCAGTGAGTGCAGGAACGAGAATTCTAATCTACCAGTTCTCGCTGGGATTCAAAACTGGGTCGCTTCATTGGGATGCAATTGCTCTATCTCCTGGTCATTGCGGCCCATCTTCCGTTGTTGAGCATTAAGATAATGGGCTAGTTCTACTCATTTCAGCTAAAAATCAACACCCTGACCTCATAGATTTTCATTCTGTCTTCCCCCTAACTAGTAGTGCTCCGCGTATCTGTACACATAACTTTTTCAGTTATTTTTGTACTTTCGTAACGTCTGTGACTACATATGGGACCTCAACCAATGGGGAATTACATTCGGGCAAATAAAAATCTCATAATTAATTAATAATTCATGCATAAGTAATCGCAGTGCCACGCGCAAAGGAAAAAATACGAAGTTTTGCGATCATCTAGAAACTTTATAATTATTACACGAAAAATCGAAAGATTTTTTTTCATGAAAATGAATGACGATATTGTTTGTGAAAATTCCCAGTATATTCCCAGAATTATGAAGAAATATTCCCAGTATATATTTTGATAGAAGTGAAAGTTAATGTTTTTCGTATTATCTGTTTCTGCATTATGAAGCAAAAATCGATTCTCCTTGCAATATCGATAACGGATGAACTTCTCCTCGCCATCTTTTGTATTGTTGTTGTTTTCCCGCCAGCGCTAGCCAAAACATAACAGAGGTAGTTTGTAAGTCGTATTAAGTGTCGCATATAACTTCAAGCATCAAAAACATCTATTTAAATGATCAATTAAATAAAAATGAAGGCAAGAATAAGCTATTTCAAATTTTTGCGTGAATTAAGCTTTTAAAAGAGTTATTATATTCGATAGATTATCTTTATTTCGAATACATTTGACCCTATCAAATTGACGCCTCTCAAAAATTAAATTAGGTGTATCAAGGTATATTATATATATACAAATTTAGTCTATAATTTCTGTTTTTAATTGTTGAAACAAAAGACAAGTTAAGAAATCAACGTTGCGTTTCGCCATGCATGATTACTTTAAATGTATTAAAATAAAAAGAGAGATAGCTAAATTTGTTTTAATTTTTCTTTAAACTTAAAAGTAGATAATATTTTGTGTGTATAATTCTATTTATCGTTTAATTTTGCTTTCGCAAAATATTTGGTAAGTACTACACATTATAAATTGACACTCTGGTAAGACACAATTAAAAACCTCGTTTGTCTTCAAAAATTAGCTTTTTATTTTTATAATTTTGCACTCTTGGATACGTATTTGTTGTATATATCTACGGTTCTCGGCAAAATAAAGTTTACATGCATTATTAAGTTTTACAAAATTATTTGAAACAAAACTTCTTTTCCTATTTAGTCAAAAGTTAGATTCTATACTTATCTAGGCAAAATTTTTTTTCTTCCCTCAATAGCTTATTTTTTTAATCCCGTTTTAAGCATTTATCTTAAAATCTATAAATTTCCTCTTACAATTAAAATGACAACATTCAAGCTATTATGTATAAACAACATTAAAATGTCTTTTTTGCAATTGTGTTGGGCTATGTTTAACTATAGTTATGTTATAATGTCTTAATAATGCATGCATTTTAATATTTTTACCTTCTGTGTTCAGAATTTTAAGCTCAAAACAAATTTCATGAGTAGAAAAATAAAGCAATGCTCATTTTTATATTTATAGGATACAACACAGCTGCCAACTCTACTGGATTTTGCCAGTTTCTACTGGTTTAATAAAAATTCTAATGGTTTTTGTACATTATAGAAAATTCCCTAAAATTGTGAGTCTGTTTCTGAAAAAAAAGTCCCTATTGTAATAGAATTTCTGGACAAATTATTATTGCTTGCTTGAATACTTAAATATGTATTACTAATACATAATGAAGCAAGCCTCATTTATAAAAATAAGTTTACAACCTTTTATTTTGTTCTAAAGTGTTCAGTTTATTTTTATTCAGAATTTTTTAAATGGATGAAGAAACCTTTCAACTATCTTTGATGAATTAATGCCTATTACTATTTAAAATTATAATTAAACATAATACATAACATTTCAAGTTCATTTATTGCTATTCATAACAGGAAAAATTTGCAGTCCTTCTATTTTGATGACTATAAATTTCCCTATGTCTAAAATATTTAGTACATTATGAAACATGTTATTTTGTAAAATCTCCTGGTTTTTTTCTTATCCATGTTGGCAGCTATGAAGATATCAGAGTGTAAGTAATAATTGAATGCCATAAGTTGCTGTAGTGAAAATCTAATAAAAATTACGCTGATAGTAGAGGTTTCAAATGAATTTGCTTGTAATATTGAGATTCAAGTCTATTTGTGTGTCTAATTATTTTAAAATTAAGAATAGGAAAGGGGAATGAATTAAAAATATATATAAGGTGTGAGAAAAAACCTGTTATGGAGATTTAACTTAAATTTAATTTTTCTTTTCTTTCAGGTTTATGTATAGAATAAGTTTTCAGCCATCTTACAGGGAATATTTACAGTTCGGTATTTTACTTGTGGAAGAGCTGCTAGTAGTGACATGTAGATAATCCTAAAAGCCTTCTTTCTTGTTCTTGAAATGATAAAATACATTTTTGGTATGCACTATTTCTTTTAACAAGTTTTCCATATTACAAATTTTAATAACGTATTCAATGTACAATAACTTGAAGTAATATTTCTTTGTAATGTTAAATATTTAATGTGTGTCATTTTTCTTATAAGTATTTAATTTATTGTGTAATAAGGCAATATGAATAATTGTTTTAAAAATTTTTTAAATTTGATCATAAAATTATGAGGAAATTATAAAAATATTTTGCGGCACCAAGGGGTTAAGGAGAGCTTTTGGGGAAAATTTTAAGTTTCAGATAATGTAAGGACTTAAGCCTATTGATATTGGTATTTGTTTTAAAAATTTTATAGAAAATAAAATTTTGCATCTTTAATGTTTTTTAAGATAATGTAATTCAATAACTTTAAAAAATTTAACTTGACTCAGTTTAAAAATTTAATAGTGTATTTTATACTGATCAAGTTTTTATTACACTAGGATGTCTTTAATTGCGATTGTTTTTTATTGAATGATAAGCATTTTTTTTTTCTCCTAGGGACATTTTTCATTCAATATGTCCTAATATTCAGTTTCCTGTTTTGATCTGTTTTGTTTTGTCTCAAAATAGACTATTTCATCATAATTGTTAACATTATACATTAGTTGTATGGCAATTTTCATGTAATTTCTATTAATTTTCTTATTGCTATCCTTTGATCGTAGCTATTCAGAACTATAATATACTTGTTTATTCAACAATATTGAATTTGTTATAAAATGAGCATACAGAATAAAGTTTAAATAAGTATATAATGATAAATTTTTAAATATTTCAAGTAAGTTTTGAAATTTTAAGTTTTATAATTTTTCTTATTTACAGAGGATTTCGTTTGGGATATGAATTTTTAATATTTACTTAGCTAATAAACCAATTAAAACCAAAGCTCTTGTATCGAGAATATTGAAATTTTTCCGTTTGATTCAGATTTTTTTTACTTATAATTAAAAATAGACTATGGTATCTTTCTAGTATTATTTATGAGAATTAAAAATATTTATTAAGTTTTTAAATATCATGATAAAAATAGGCATATTTGGAATAACTTGGCCTTTTACTGTCTTACAGAGGTGATTGTATTCCGATGGTATCCGGGAATTCCGGGTTTTTCATATTATCCTTATGAGTCTAAAAATTACGAGCAAGGCATATGATTTTTCTGAGAATATTTCTGAATTCCGCTTTTCTTAAGACCATTGATTCTTGGACTTTCGATAATCAAAACTTATAATCCGGTAAACTTTTCACAGAATTACGTAATCTGAAATTCAACATTTGAGAGTTTCGCTGATTCCCGCTAACGAGAAGCTTACATACACATGATTCTTGTGCCAATGGGTAGAAATCCACCAATTGATTCTTTTGGTTTGGCTGATTTTTGCCATTTTGAATATTTGAAACTGCTCAGGAATTCACTAATATCATGATAATCATGGAAGATAACATGATCTACATGTGGTTTGAATATCAAACAAAAATTTTCGTATTTGCTTAATTTAAAAGTTACTCTTTGCGATTCATATTTACGGGATTTTGAATTCCAATATCGCGGTTCATATTCACATGATTTTATAAGTATAACATCGCGATACTTGCAAGAACTAAGATTTTTCTTAAATTATTTACTATAAAGGTGTGATATCATCATTATAAATCTTACTTATAAAAAATTATGCTAAATTTGAATCATATATGGTATACAAATTGATATCTTGGTATTGATTTTTTGCATATGAAATTTTCAGGATTTTTCACTTAATGTCACAATCACCCTTGGTCTTAGTTAAACATAATCCTTAACCACACCACTACAACTGTAGAAAATCTTTGCAAATAAGTTGATTCAATATCTATCAAAACCTGATTGAAAAAATGTATTAAATGTTGTTGATTATGAATTGAATTTTGCCATTATGGAAGCTTCGGCGTTTAGTCATTATCTTCATTCACTCTTACCACCCTTTTCTCATCTTTATTTATCTATTTAAAATCCTGGAATGCAAAATACATGAGCTTATTACCGATGATAGTGATATTGTTGACCATTTTTTCTTTGTTTGTAAAGCATGACATTCCAGAAATAGTTCTTCTCACATTTCAGAAGCACTTTTAAATCTAAAGAAAGCGTCATACATCCAAAATATCTTTGGCATGAGGCCAAAGTACTTTTTTTTAGATAAATAACTTATTTTATAGAAAGTGATAATAAACACTCTAATTTTAAATTTTATGAGAATTTTTTTTTAATATTATGAATTCATATTATAGTTTTATGAAATTCTTTTTCTCTCTATTTTCAGTATGAAATATTTTACTGTAGGTGTGGGAGCTAGCAAATAAAACCAAGTATGCATTTGTTTCATTTAATATATTCTTCCATTTATTATGCTTAATTTATAAAAATACAAAATATTTTTATTACATTTCAGATGTTTTGGCGATATAATTTGATCACTGGGTCTTGCATTGAAACACTGTTAGACAAGGAGGTAAATTATCCTTATTTTCTTCTAATTTCTGTATGGTAGTTCTTCATTCTTTTATTTGTTTTTAAAAATTTCTTAATGGCAAGAAAACTATTAGAGTAATTTTTACTTTTATCTTTATTATTTACTATGAGGGAGGTTCTGATATGCTTAAGATTTTTAATTAAAGCATCAGTTTCTTTAATATTTTTTAAAGTTATTTATGTTTAATATTTAAATTGTCTATTATGTTTTCCCCACTATCTTAAATTTGTTTGATATGAGTCCTTCTAATACAAGTTTTTTTCCCACATTTTTTTAACATAAAAATATAGCAATGTAGATAACTGAAAAATCAAATTTAAAATGAGATCATAACTTTTTTCGCTTTGTATTTATTCTTTTTCTGTAAACAGCTATTTTGATTTTATTTCAGTGCAGCATTTTTTCTGGCAAATACAGTAATATAGAAAACTGAGAATTTTGGTGCTAAATTATTAAAATAACTGATAATTAGATGAATTGAAAACAATTTTATTTCTCTTCCACTCTTGAATTTTTTCCCCTAGGCTGCAAATTCGTTTTTTAATTATATTTCATAATTTTTATAGACAACTATTTTATTTTTTCACTTATATTATGATTATGATTTATTTATGATTGATTCTATTATGATTTGTTTTTATGAAGGCCAGAGTTGGCAAGGTTTAGGTCAGAATGGATTAATCCATGGTTGAAACCAGGGTTTAAATCGTCCTGTCCAAAACCCCTTTGTCTGAAACTGTCGAAAATCCTTTTATTCAAATTATGTCACAATTTTAAAAAAAAAATATTGGGAAAAATAAAATATTAATTTTTGAACAAGAAACAGACAAGTTTTTATTTTAATAAAAAATTTTATTATTATTTTTAATATTGCATTTATTTATCTTAATGCAAAATAGTAATTTATCAGTATTAAAAACATATTTATTCATATTTAAGAGATAAAATATTCACTTTCGTTGTTCAATGAGCTTCAAAAGTTATAAATCTTTTCTTATTATATTATACTATTTTTCTTTTAATAAGTTAAAGCAAATTGTATAAAAAGTATCAAATATTTATAATGTATAATATATTTATAAAAAGATTTGGCTACGCACCCTGAATAATTACATATATTTATTATATGTACAATAGTTACACATATAGAATTTTTACCTTTTATCAACGTTCAAGGTTTAGAACACTTTAGGACAGTTTAAGATAGTAAAACCCACGTGTCTTGTCCAAAACCAGTTTAGGACATCCAAAACCCCAACCCTGATTAAAACGTATGTTTTTGTCTAGAAAATACAGCAATATTTATATACGGGCCAAGATTTTGGAATCTCCAGAGTTTTCGCATATCTTAAATGTACCAATTTCTGTATGTTCCGGATCTTTTACTGTATCTTAAATTTTTTTACTTTCAGAATGTGACCCTGAAAGAATTAATGGATGAGGAAGACATTCTCCAGGAATGTAAGGCACAAACAAAAAAGCTTATAGATTTGTAAGTTATATTAAGAAATATTAAATAGATCTTTTCTTTCTTTTCCATAATATAATCTTAGTTTATGAAATATTTTTAATTGAAGCTTATTTATTTTTAGTGTTAATTTTAATTATTCTGGACTTTCTCTTCAGTATTTCTTAAATCATCATTAAAATTAGTGCCACTAAAAATGTGTAATAACTGCTAATTGAACAGATTTATTCTTCAGAGTGAGTTAGAAAGTTTTAAAACCATTGCCAAATGGTATATCAAAAACAACGAGGGGATGTGTTACTCGAAAGTTTACAAATCAACTGTGTAGGTTCAGGGAATGTACAGTCCCTGGCCATATTATTAGATGCACTCTAAGATTCTGTGTTAAATTACAATTATCAGGTGATACTATACAGCTGTATTGTTTTTACTCAGATGAAACTGGTTTGCATTTGTTTACGCTCCTGTATCAGTTGGTTAGCATTGTCATGCAATATGTTAAAAATAAATACAATTAGGAAACATGTAAGTATATAAAAAATCTCCTGAATAAAGACCCATTACATGTATGTTTAAATATAAAAGTGTTGCTTATAAACTCGTGCAAATCATGTAATTATTAAAAAATGCAGTGCATCTAATAATTTCGTCTATTTATTATTGTATACTAATACAATACCTGCTATAATAAATATCCTATATTCATGTATTATATCGTCTAATTTATCCAATCGTCGAATTTATATTATATATTGCCTAATTTAGCCAATTAATACACGAACGTAATCAAGTTCAAACCGGTTTCAGTCACATAAAAACAATAAAGCTGTATAGTATCACCTGATAATTATGAATTTACATAGAATCATATAGTGGCTCTAATAATTTGACAGGGTTATATATAGTTGTTTTCTTACATCTCCAAAAGTAGATAAATGTCATTTTATAGCAAAAGGAATTTTTTTTGTACATTTAATATAATAGAACAATTACTATTAAAAATATATTATTTTTGTCTTTGCAATTAAATCTCAATAAATGAAATAGATATATCTCTTAAAAACATTTTCTATATCTCATTAAATATAAGTAGTTTTATGAAATTCTATTTGTAGGTCATGTTTATTAAATGTCTATTTTTTCCAGCCTCATTGAACCAGAAATTTTGAATAAAACGGTTTCACTGATATTAAATGAACCAGATCCAGAAGAAGATGAAAGGCAACGCTATAGGTAAGATCCCTCAATTTAAATTTGTCATGTATATTTTCAAAAATAATGCCCTAAATTATTATTATAAATAAAAACCCTAAAAAACTTATGTGCTAATAATCAAATTTTATTCAAAATTAATGATTTACTTATAAAATTAAACACAATCTTCTCTCTGAAAAATTGTTCTTTAGTCATATTAACCCACTAGTTGTTTTGCAAAAAGGCGAAAGTGGGCGAATATTTCTCCCTTTTACACTATTTCTGTAACTAATAACGTGAAAAAACCAGTTATGTACTGCAGATTACAATACCATGGTGCATAGCGTTTTTAAAAAGTGCTTAATTTTCCTTTTTCAAAAAGGAGATTTTCTTTCGTTACTATATCGATTTTTGCCACGTGTTATAGAAAAGCGTGGTTTTTACATTGTTATATACAACGTTTTCACAATTCATTTTGCCGTACTGTAGGTCCATAGCATATGAAGGCGTCAATCATTTTACATGTTTGGTCAAATACTTAGGAATCCGTATGTGTGTCTACTGAGCTCGTTTCGGTGAGATTATTGCTTTCTCATGTGCAACTCAGCTGCATTTTGCAAGATATTCCCAATTTCAGGTTTCATTTTCCTGCCTTTGATATCAAACCGAAAAATCTCTAGATCATTTTATAATGGCTAATATAATCAAGAAAAGAGTTCTTTGTCAGAAACTAGTTGTTTTCTCATGATCATCTAAAGTCTTTGCAAATTATTTTATTTTATTAATGTATATAGTGCTTAAAAATATTTTTTGAGTGTTTAAAAAGTACTTAAAAGGTGCTTATTTTTTGTTGAAAGATTTGGCTACGCACCCTGAATACCACTTCTTGCGCCCAGAACAGTCAGCGGGTTAAGATTCTTGAGTCTCAAAAATGTAGAATTGTAGTAAATTTAAAATATTGGCAAGTTCAATTTTTTTTTTTTACATTATGTTCAACTATTCTCTTAAATTTTAATCATATGAGTGTTTAGTTTGATGCCCTGCAAAAATAAATGCACCTTATATTTCAAATTTGTTTTAATCATTATTAAATTGAATAAAAAAATATGATTAACTATTATATAGAGAACTATTTTTTGATCCATGTAATTAGTTTTAGAAATATGATTAAGATAGCAAAAATAGCATTTCAATTACTCTTTTGACTGAAACTATAGGAATCACTTTTTTAAAATCGTAAGGTCAAAAACTTTTAATCTAATAAATAAATAATGTATGTAAAAATTATATAATAAGTCACTCAGGATATCATTTATTCTTGTATATTGCAAATCATAAATGCATTTGAAGTGCTTTAGACAATATTTGTTCAGAGGTGCAAATCACATTTTGAAATTGTTCAGAAGAGCAAATTTAGTGTAAACACCTTGATATTTATGTAGGCAATAAGAAGTTTCTGCTGTAAGCTAGTAAAATTAATAATAGCTCCTTGGATTGAAACTATTGGAATCATATTTTCTAAATTGTAAGGTAAAAAAATTGAATTGATTTTATGAAAAGGGTATATTTAATCATAAAACAATTCGATCTGATTTTTATGTAAAAATTCATTCAGGATATAATGTGTAATTCTTACACACTGCAAATCCTAAATTTATTTGAAATGCTTGGGGCAATATAATGTTAAGCCATGTTTTTTAAATAATTTAGAAAAGCAGTTTTGGGGAAGGCATCTATATAGGCTGTAAGATGTTTCTTTGCATTCTTATATAAAAAAGATTCCAAGGAACAGTTTTATATAAAAATGTTACTTTGGAAAAGTGGTTTGTCACTATATTGCCCTGAGCCTTTCATTTCCTTAAGATATAGAATTTAGTATCAATCTTTGTAGGTATGCGAATCGAGCATGTGAACTGTTAACTTTTGACAATCCCCAAGTTTATGATGCAATAGCTAGTGATGAAGGCATCTTGAAAAAGCTATATGACTTTTTAGATACTGACGAATCTTTAAATCCTCTATTGGCCAGTTTTTTCAGTAAGACTATGGGTTTGTTGATTATGAAGAAAACTGAAGCAGTAAGTGATATGTTCTCTAATTTTCTTTCTTAAATTAGTATCTGAAACAACAAATCATTAATTTTCAGCTGATTTTTTAAAAATTTATTTTCATCTTCATGAGCGCTAATTTTGAATTATTAAAAAGAATAGTTATAAAACCAAAAACTTTTATTTATAAATATTTAAACCATAGTTTTTTTGAAGAAAGAAAAAACTGTCAAAATTTAAATTAAAAAAAAAAAGAAATTATGAGAAACTGGAAATTGGTAAAATGCATAACTTTAATTTGCTGGCATATTTACCTCAATAAAATTTCTTTTTTATTTTATTAACTACATATTGTCCAGTGTTCGCCAAAGTGGCTCAGTCAATTATGGGCACAAAGTGGCAATTTATGTTCATAACAAATGTACAAAATGTTTTACCCAATGTAATGTATAAATTAAATGGTTTAAAACAATTTTTCCACATTCCTACACCCCAGAAAATTCCTTTATTAACAAATACCTTTAAGATATTTATTTATTATTTAATAGTATATACTGGGGAAATTTATTGTCCTTCTTTAATATTATTCTCTACTATTATTATATTCTGTTTTTTATTCCAAATTAAAGGCTTAAATTTAAAAGTGGTATTCTTTTATTATAAAGTAATCCTCTAATATTACCTTATTATGTAACATTTTTTGAAAATCATTTTAAAATAAGTTAGGTTTACTTTTATATAAGTTTTACATAAAACTGTCTCCAGTCAAATTATACATTTAAAATAATGGAACATGTAAGTATTGGTAGGAATTCACTTAACACAATATTGCCAAACAATCTGGCAAAATATATTTAACTATGGGAATGGGAATTTCAAAAACAAAATTGTATATTTTCTATGATAAATGGAAAAAATAATTATGTTTAAATTTTGTTCCAAATAGACTCTGGAACTGAACCTGTGTTAATCGAATAAAAAGTTTTGTTCCATTTTAATTGAGCAAATTTAATTTTTTATGCAACAATCTGTTAGTCATCAATAAATAAAAAAAATGTTGTAGCAATTTCAACCCCCCCCCCCCAAAAAAAAGGGTTGAATTGCAATTAATGTTATAAATAGTTACTAAGTATTTAACTTTCATGTTAGAAGCAAATTCTGCATTCTCATTAAAGATTCAGGAATATTTAAAATATTTCTGAAAAACCCTAGATGGACTAGGCTTTTACAAAATAAAATAAAAAGTTTTTAAGCCCTGAAACTGCCTAGACTTTTCTTTTTGTTTCAATTAAGTCTCAAAATCTTTAATCTTCGTGTTATCTGGTCTAACAAACACTTCTTTTTTCAGTTTTACGTCAGATAAATCTGGGAACTGTTTGTAAAGATATTTGAGGCATTCACTTTTTTTGTTTTGTTTAATACTTTCATTGGGCCTAGTATTATGTGATAAAATTGAAGTAATGCTTTTTTTTTAGTCATCAACATTTCCCTTTGATTAAATTTAACTCTAGCATTGAATGTTTTCCTGATTGCCCATTCTTTTTTATTATAATGTTTTTTGTCTCTGTTCACAAAGAAACCAGAGAAATTTTGTGTACTTTTTTTAACTGCTTAAGTAACATAGAAACCACTTTCAGATCATGTCTAACTGCCACACATGAGATATATCAGCAAGTACAATATTGTGCTTAAAAGTCTTTTTAATGATTTCAGAGGAAAACTGAGTGAAATAGTTTTTTTTTTTTACTCTTGTTTACTAGTTAATGTCACCAATTTACTATTTAAAGTTTATAGATATGTTTATCAATCTCGTATAAATAATAATTTTTTGGTTCTAGCTATTATGCTTAGAAACTGTACTTGATAGTACTTTTTCATTATTTTTCTTGTACCTGGCGTCCAAAAAACTACACACACATATACACACACAAATATCTATCTTTCAGTCACCTTCCCTATCAATACATCAGTGCTTACCAGTTTTCCATTGTTCAAAGCTATGATGCAGGTCATTAGGTCGCACCTGCTTCAGAAAGTCTGTCTTTTTTGCCTTCACATCTTCTGCAAAATAAAAATGTGTTCTCTCCAATGCACTTTTAACTTTTGAAAAAGTAGATTTTGCATGGTGCGAGATCTGGTGAGCATGGAGGATGCTCGAACACATTAATGTGCTTGTCAGCCATGAACTGTTTCACAAAGCGCATTTTGTGCCTGGTGTGTCAAGTTTTTGGTACCAGTATTGCGCAAACCTTTGTCATAACGTAAATTTTCGGTTAAGATTTTTCTTATTGTTTTTCCATCATTGTTCGTTGTATCTGAAATCATTTGAACACTCGAATGCCTGCACTCACACACAATTTTGTTAGTTTTTTTTAATGTTTTAATCAATTCTTTCATCAATTTCAGCAGAAAATATTTCTGTTTCAATTAATTTTCTCAATTTCAACAGAATCGTGAAGTCACCGGACGACCAGAATGTTAATCTCTGACAATATCTGGACCTTCGGAAAATGGTTTGCGCCATCCAAAAATATGACTACATGATGCGCAATTATCGCTAAACACCTCCTTTAACAATTTGAAACATTCAGTTACTAGTTTTTTCACAAGAAATGTCAAGTTAATGCGCTGCTCAATCTTTAAGTTTATCATGATCGCGTCATTTCGCAGGCATAGGATGAAAAATAAACTATCCTAGATAGAGGGAGGAGCCATTTGCACTGTAAGCATCTAGGTAAACTACATTCTATTTCCGCTTCTCAGCACCAAGCTTAATGGCTAGGGCATGTTCAGTCGGGTTATTTAATTTTCACACCTCGTGTGTTTGTATATATGTATATATATACACACGTATGTTTGCTTACATACTTGCATATATTGTATGTAGCTGTGCATACTAACATATATTGTGAGTACTATTTATGTATACACGTGTACACATATTTTGTACATTGTAAGTACACTTGTACAGTCCGCAAAAAAAAAAGATGTCACCCTGAATAACTTTTGTTCTAATGATCGGATTTTCACGATCTAAGTGTCAATCTTGATGGTTTCCGGGGGTGACTTCAAATATGCTAATTAATTAGTGCTAACTATTAATTAAGTTACGAAATCAGACACAAAAACGTACTTTCTCTGAATAAACATGTANTGCCCACAAACAGAAATGGAGAAAGCAGAAATGGAAAACATTCCATACCGAAGTGTTCTTGGATGTGTGTCCTTTATAGCAAGTAGGACAAGACCTGAAATATCTTATGCTGTTAATATTTTATCGCAGTATCAAGAAAATCCTGGTATCAAACATTGGCAAGCTTTACTGAAATTATTAGGGTATCTGCAATATACAAAAGAAAATATGCTTGATTTGTCGAAAATCTTAGATTTGTCAATAAAGTGCTACACGGATGCAGACCATGCATCAAACAGAGATGACAGAGTGTCAATAGGAGGAACTATTGTATATGTAGGTGATATCCCTATCTTGTGGAAAACCTTTAAACAGAAAAGTGTTTCAATTTCTACCATGGAGGCTGAGTATATCTCTTTATCGGAGTCAGCCAAGGAGTTAGTGTGGTTAAAAAATGTGCTAACTGATAAGAAACTCAAATTGAACGTACCAAGCTGTGAATTGTTTTGTGATAACAGGGCTGCTATTGATTTTTCTAAATCTGAGGTTGAGAACTCTCGCAGCAAACACATTGATGTTCGTTACCATTTTGTGAGACAATATGTGAATAACAAATTCTTTGAATTAAGATATGTTAGAACTTGGAACAATACAGCAGACTTGTTAATAAAGCCTGCGGTTAAAGAACGAATGCGATCCTTCTGTAATAAAATATACTTAAGGACTTAACTCAAGGTTACAAATAAGTGTAACTTTTTAGCACAGCAAAAGGAAAAGGGGGCCGAATGTTGGAGAAAATGTAAACAAATAGAAATGTAAACAGTATTTTCCTCTTGGCTGTGTCACTTCCTGTGGGAAGTTGGGTCACTTCCTAGGGGAAGTTGGGTCACTTCCTGTTATCTCAGCTAAAAGGAAGTGGGTGTTTCTGGTTTTAGTTAGTTATATCTTTGCTTTGGTTAGAGGATGTTTCTTCTCTTATGCTATGTTTAGAAAGAGCTATGTGATGTTAAAGAGTTATGTTTAGTTTGTTTGAATGTAGTGTTTCTTACTTTATATTTAAAGATTTATATTCAATAAATATAGTTGTACCTTTTCCATGAAGTGAATTTTTGAGTAGTAATAGATGTCTTCAATATATTATACTTAGTAAGCTGGCCCCTATTTTTCAACAGGCTGAGCGGTAGCGCTTCGCGCTGTCATTCCTCCGGCCGGGCAAGGCTGACTCAGCCTTTCATCCCTACAGTGGGTCGATAAATAAGTACCAAGCATGATTGGGAACTAAACACTGGGGGTTCCGCGTTCGGCTGACCACCTGACCGGAACATCTGCTCCTGCACCCGAGAGCTCTAGGTCCAGAAAACTGAGATTGGCACAGTAGGCCTTGGCCCTCCATGGGCTGTCGTGCAGCTGAGTTTAGAGTAGAGTTTTTTAAAACTTCTTTACATCTTATATATCGCCTTAATCTTAAAATAAATTTGTAAATTACCTGTCTGTGCGTGTTTCGCAGAATTATTTTTCTAACTTTTTTATTGCATTTTAATTCAATTTTCTTTAAATTCTATTATGTATATTTTTTTCAAATAATATACTAATCAATCGTTTAAGTACTTTAATTTATGTTTTTCTTTAAAATAAAATTTATTTTTTAAATTATTGCTAAGTTCTTATTGAAAGAAAACTTAGAATTATTGCCAGCTATCTGAGAATTAAATCTTGTTAAGAAATTAAAAATATTCTACTGATCACACACAATATCATTCGTAGCAGAACAGCTGACTATTTACTAAAAATACTATTGTTTACGAAAAATGAAAATAAATTATTAATTTTATTTTTTTTATTGCTTCTTATTTATTCGAGTAATGAAAAGTAAATGCGTATGTGCGCACAGGGGAAAAATTTAACTGATTGTTTTGTTTTTTAAATGAACAAAAAACTATGGGCATGCAATTTTAATTCAACATTCAAAGTTAATCTTGTGCGCTAACCCTTTTAAGTTACCCTTTTGTCTTAAAAAGTTGAAAATATTTTCTTTAAAAGTTGTTTGTATGATTTCTAAACTTTTGCACAGTTCAAAAAAATATTGCTATATCAGGAAAATGTACGATATATATATATNAGATGTTAGGATTCAATGTGACAGGGTGCGTAGCGTTTGTAAAAAGTACTTAAAGGTGCTTTTTTGGAGATTTCGTTTTTAAAAGCTTTTAAAGGTGCTTTTTTCAGCTTGCGTTTTTAAAATGTGCTATTTTTCCGAATAATTTTCCCCCCCTTCAGTGATGTCTGGTGGATCCCATGCATTTCACGAAAAATGGGGAGTTTCAGTGTTTTCATCATAGAAGAAAAATGGGTGAGAATTTCTCACCCTTTCTCAAAAACAGGGTGAGATTTCAGAAAGTTAAGTGAGATTTCTAAAAACTGAAAAAATACAAATAGACTTGGAAAAAAAATTTCTTTTGTTATAATACATTTTTAACGTCTTCTATTTTTTAAAGCATTGAATATTTTTGCTGCATCATCATAGAAGATTTTGCCTTTACTAGGTATTTGTCCATCTTACATTAGTGCATAAAAAAATTTGAACGTCTTACATGAAAAACCATACCTACAGTAAACACGTGGTTGCAGAGAAATGTGTTCTGAAAGGGGTTCCGTGGTTCGGAGGGGTTGTGTTCTGTTGTTCGAAAAGGTTCTGAACAATACCTACTGGTAAATAGGGAAGCTAGATAACGGGGCAAGTGTTGAAAATAATGAAGATCCAGGAAGAAAAGTGAAACGGATTTTATTCTAAATGACGTAATTCGAAACTTTTTCCAAAATGCGAGAATTTCGCGAATTTTGAAATTGATTTATAGAATACGCGAATTTCTCGCGGTAATCATTTTTTAAAGCGAGAAAAGAAAAAAATATGCGAGATTCTCGCGCTGTAGTGAAAACACTGAGTTTGCTACGAAATCATTAACGCGGACTTCATGTCGTACCCACATTATGACTTGCGCATGCGCGCACACTTGTAACCGAAACCCGAGTGCTCCAATTCAGATAATATCAGATCCTTATGAAATGTTTTCTTTTTTAATTTATTTTAATTTTATTCTTGTTTATTTTATTTTACTTCTAACACCTTTTTTGACGTAGGGGGTAAGGGTACTTTTGTTCTGAGTTCAGGGTCAAGTTGAATTCACTCGGTGATGTGGGAAAGTCATGATTGTTTCGATTTATGCTCCTATCTTTTTTGATTTTTTTCAATGCTAAAACTGTTCATAAAAAGTTTTTGTTTTTCAATAATATCATTGATCGAATATGGATTTTTTGAGTGCTTGAAAATTTTTGTAAAGTGCTTAAAAAGTTTTTAAAAAGTGCTTATTTTTTATTCAAAGATTTGGCTACGCACCCTGATTAGGGTTTCAGTATAATTGCTTAAAAACCCAATATAATTTAAACATTTGGTTGGATTCTTTCTTTGGCAATTTGATGAACTTGAATTATTGATTAGCAAGACATCATAGCTCAATCTTTTGGCTGAGTTAGTTTTTATTGACAAAGCATGATAGAGGAATATTGAAATTCTCATGC